TGTCTCCATCTGTATTTATGAGTCTCCACTGAATTTTAGCCAAACCCCTTAGCTTGGCATTCAAGGCCCTTCAGTGACTGGCCCCAAAGTCCCTCTCCTATCCTCATCTTCTGACCCCTCTCCTCCATGAACCCTTCTCTCTTCTCTGAGTACATTTTGTACTTCATGCCTTTTTTCATTTCTGTTGTTCGATTTTCCTGTTAAAATTCTGTTCGTATTACAATCACTCCCTCTTTTATTCTACTGTATAATTCATCAGTCTGACAGCTACATGTGTGCATAATTGGCTTTCCTGTCAAGGGTGGAGGGTAGGGTTTAGACAGTTTTTAATTCCCCAATGTTCCTTTACCCAAATTGTTTCCAGTGAATTTACCCCACCTCCTCCTTTGGACTAGAAGATCCTCATTCTTCAAATCCTCTCCACTCCAACTAGGACAGGGCTCACCCACAATCCCTACCACTCAGTGTGAGAGAGATCCTGAGATCTCTCCTCTACTCAAGAAACATCTCCAAATTCTTTGGGAAATGGTGATTCACTTTTCACTCAAAATAATGTGGTTTTTAGGGTGGTGAATCAAGATATCTGAGCTGTAGTTCCAGTTCTGGTGCAAACTTGCTTATGAATAGGGGGATCCCTTTTCTGTGCCTACCTCTCAATTAGGAGCAATATCTCCACACCTCTATGCCTTACATATTTCACCAGGATGCTGCTCCCAAATTCATAATAGACATATTGTCATTAAGTGTCTCACTGTACAAATTCACAGTATCATTTAAAAAAAAAAAAAAAAAGGCAGAAACAGCCACAGGGAAGGCATAGGAGAGCCACAGGGAACTGAAGAACGCTGGTATCAGGATGGTTCGTGGTTCGTGCCTAGCTCGTTGTGGGCTTGGGCCCTGAGGTCAGGCTGCCACCGGAGTTCCCTATCTTAGTGGGAGAATGGGGAACTTCCATCCAGCAAGACAGAAAATGAAGCAGAACAACACTGAAGTTTGCAGAGGTGGTAGCTGAAAAAGGAACACGCTGAAATGTTTATCTATGTGTGACTCAAGATAGTGGATCCTTTATGTGGCAAGTGCTGCTACTGTTACTGAGAGTTCAGGCATTTGCCTCTTTTCTGCCCAAGTGTTTTTCCTCTCACTGGCTGTTTATGAGAGGGTATGCAAAGACCACTACCCTGGGAACCAGACAAATTTGTTTTGTCTGTTTACTACCCTATATGACCTTGAACAAGTTATCTAATCATAAATCCTCAGTTATCAGGCCTGTAAATTGGAAACACTAATTTAAGAGTTCTGGTGTGTCGCTGTGGGTTAATGTGCTGAACTGCAAGATCGGTGTTTCAAGCTCACCAGCCCACTCCTCGGAAATCCTATACTGGGTCACTATGGGTCGGAACTGACTCAAAGGCACTGGCACTTAACAACAACAAACACTTAACTTAAAGGAGCTCTGGCAGTATAATAGGTTAAGCATTGGTCTGTTATCCACAAGGCTGGCAGTTCAAACCCACCAGCTGAGAAAGAGGAGGCTTTCTGTTCCCATCAAGATTTACAGTCTGAGAAACCCTACGGAGTAGTTCCTACAAGGTAGCTGTGAGTCAGTAGCAGTGGGAGTGGGGAGCATTTACCTGGAAGTTGTGGGAGTTACTGACACGATCCACATAAATTGTCTAGCATGGTTCCTGGAGGTCCCTTGCTTTGAAAAGTACAATCTTGGGCACAGCTCTGGCTTAGGTATAAGTTACCAATCATGTGGGTAGGCGAGCCAGAGTTGGTGGTGAGGTATAATTATTGAAACCTTATAGCCAAGATTCCAAGACACTCACAATTTCAAATAGACTCCTATTTTCCTTTAAGTCAACAAGCACTTGCCAATTTCTGTTTGGGAACATTTGATCACTGTGGAAAATACCTCAGAAGCTGCCTATTTCTCTATCAGCCCTGAGCATCTAGGCTCCAGGCTTGAAGCTTCTTGACCAGATACTCAGAGAAGAGATGAAAGGCAGTGGGAAAGAGAAAGATGACTAACAGTGGCTACCGGTACCCCTTAGTGGGAGACTAGGTTCTGCCTCCCATTTTTTTAGCCCAAATTACCATTGCTGTGCAAATCTATCTTTAAAAGAGCAGGGTAAATGAAATACTGCTAGCTCAGAGGTTCTCTACCTTTGCTGCACATTAGAAGAACCCCAGGGAAATTTGAAAATCCCCATGCCTAGACAGCATGCTAGAGCTATTAAACCATATTAAAAAAACAAACAAAAACCTCCCTAGAATTCCAATGTACACCCCAAGTTGAGAACCACTGTTCTAAGTCAGGGGTTCTCAGACTTGCCAGATGATGATAATCACCCATATTAGTTTGTAAAAGTTCCTCAGACTCTGGAATCCATACCTTATCAGAATTTAATGATTCTAAAACATACCTTTTAAAAATACACGTAAAGCTAATGTTCTCCCATGTAAACTATCACATAATTCACAATAAAACATTTTTTTAGAAAAAAATACATGTATATATGTTTTATTTTAACATCTTTAAAACCATGGCGCATCTTTTAATCAATGGCATCTAAAATTTGATGAAATCCAAAAGCCTCTCAGGTGATTCTCATGATTAGGCCAAGTTTGAGGAAGACAGTTCACCAGGGCAATGCTGCCCAAGCTTTCATGTAATCACCTGGGACCTGATTCTGAATCAGAAAAGTCTTATTTAAGACTTGAACTTCTACATTTCTCACAAGCTGCTGGATGTTCTAATGCTGCTAGTCCTTGGACCACATTTTGGGTAGAAAAGTGCTAAAGTCTTCCATTTGGAGAAGACTTTGCCACAAAGACTCATTGAAGTCAATGGGAATAATTGGCATAGAGAAATAGGAGCAGCTAAGATGAGTGCCGGAGGGAGCACTGCCCCAGCCTCGGAGAAACCAGAGTCTGGAGTCCAGTTTCCCAAAGAAGCAGCATTTGTTGTGAGGTGGCACAAAGACTGGCAAAGTCCAGTTACCTAGTGTAGTGGCTTTGTTGTTGTTGTTAAGTGCCATCAAGTCGGTTCCAACTCATAGCGACCCTGCATAGGGTTTCCAAGGAGCACCTGGTTAGCTTGAACCACCAACTTTGCAGTTCAAACAGTTTGCAGTCTGGTGCATTAACCCACAGCACCACACGTAGTGGCTTTAGAGGGCCTAAAAAAAAGCATCCTCATTATCTACTGCATAAGTTTTCCCTCTTTCACTCACCAGACTTTTATTGAGGGCCCACAAGATCTAAGGGATTGAATGATGAATCAGATTTGATCCCTGATATCCAGATTGGTAAACAAAGTATGAGTACAATATGAAGTAATAAATGCTAATAACAGAAGTATGTACAAAGAGATGAGCAAACATAAAGGAACAGTCTTAATAGCTTCCTGGAGCAGCAGTTTGAGGAGCTCAGTGAAAGATTTCTAATCTTTCCAAGGATGTGGTGGTGGTTGTAGTGTGCTGTGGAGTTGGTTCTGACTCACAACGACCCTGTATAGGGTTTCCGAGGCTGTAAATCTTTATGGTAGCAGAATGCCTCATCTTACTCCAGCGGAACAGCTGGTGGTTTCAAACTGCTGACCTTGAGGTTAGCTGCCTGATTCATAACCACTACGCTACCAGAGCTCCTTTCAGTAGATGACCCTAAAGCTCCTGCCAGCTGGGAGGGTCATCACTTGATGAACTCCTAAGCAGATCACTGGTCTGTGCCAAGAAAAGTAAAGTACCTACGTCCGTGAATCTGTCTGAGAAATTGATCATGGCTGTAAAAGGCTCGGAAGAGTTTGGGACACCTGAGTTATAAAACAAAAACAAATGGTACCACACAGATAGGCTAGCTGGGACAGATGGGCCCATGAGACTGGGAACTAGAGCACCAGGTGGAGGTGCCTCTTCTCCCCAGCTGATCTGTGGTACACCGCCACTTAAGGACACACTAAAGGAGCTTACCTCTGTGAGTTGAGCCCAGAAGAGGAAAGGGAAGCAGAGATGGTAAGGCCACTGAGTGGTCTCTTAAATCTAAGCAGCTTTCTTCTAGGATCAGGTAAGCAGTGTAGCGTGAACAAGCACAGGCTAAATTGGGGGGTCGGGGGAGTGGAGGTATCAGACTGGAATAGACTGAAAGACACAGGTGATGGGTACATAGGTTTTGGGATGGCAAAGTAGAGTGTGAATGAGTTAACATAGGAAATTGGCAAGATGATTGAAATGTAATAGTTCAGTGAAATGACCCAGGTCTCTTCAGTCCTACCCTGAAACCTCTGTCCTCGGTCAGAAATGGGTTTGAGAAATGTGTTAAAGGAATTCACCTGACTTGGTCTCAGCAGGGGAGATTTTGCTTCCCACCCTCTGGTGATGTTTGACAATGTCTGGAAGCATTGTTGGTTGTCACAACTGGAGGGCAGGTCAGTGCTAGTACCTCTATGGGGTGGTTGTTAAGTGCCATCAAGTCAGTTCTGACTCATAGCGACCCAGTATAGGGTTTCCGAGGAGCAGCTGGTAGGTTTGGACTGCCAGCTTTGAGGTTAGCAGTCCAGTACTTATCCTACAACACCATACCAGGAATGCTCTTAACTTCCTACAATGCACAAAATAGTAACCCCTCCCCACCACCACCACACACACAAAACGATCATCCATTGCAGTGTCATTCGTACCAAAGTCGAGAAACAGGGCTCTAAATCCAGGTTGAGGCTAGCAGAAACTGAGGGTAGCAGTTATTCCTAACAGGCAGTCCTGGTGTGGCACTGCAGGGTAATGCATTGGATTGCAAGGTCCGTTTGAACCGCAAAGTCAGGGGTTCAATATCACCAGCCATTCCTAGGGAACCCTATTCAGGATTCCTATGAGTCAAAACCAACTGAACTGGACAGCACTTAACAACAACCCTACCAAGCAGTGGCTAAGACTTCTCAAAGGCCATCTATTGGAGGGTTGGGAGAGATGGTGGGAATTTGAAATAAGCATTTCTACCTCTAGGTGCTGGAGAGTCAGGAAAGAGCACTATCGTCAAACAGATGAAGTGAGTAGGAACAAAACCCGAGAGGAGTAGAGTAGGGTGAAATAGTGTTACTAACTGTGATGTTGTTGTTGTTGTTAAGTGCCATCGAGTCAGATCCGACCCATAGCGACCCAGTACAGGGTTTCCGAGGGTGTAAATCTTTACGGGAGTAGAAAGCCTCATCTTTCTCCCATGGAGCGGCTGGTAGTTTCGAACCGCTGACCTTAAGGTTCACAGCCCAATTCGTAACCACTACGCTACCAGAGCTCCTTTACTGAGGGTAAAAGGGCTTTTTTTAGCCTTAAGTAACTCAAATGATTCCCAGTATGCCTTATCTGCATGCTCCTTGTCTTGCCTTACCCTCACCTTAGAATAGCAATAGAAATGCAGAGGTGGGGTTCTTTGATCCTCTGAATCTCCAGTCTTCCAATCCTTTAGGTCTAGTTACTCAGGCCCAGCTGAGGACTGGGTATCTGCCCTTGCAGGATCATTCACCAGGATGGCTATTCGCCAGAAGAATGCCTAGAGTTCAAGGCCATTATCTATGGGAATGTGCTGCAGTCCGTCCTGGCCATCATCTGGGCCATGTCCACACTGGGCATCCTTTATGCTGACCCAAGCCATGTGGTATGTGGTTAACAGTATGTGGATAAGGCTGGAAGCAGGAAATGCTCATGAGAAGAAACAGACCAGAGGCCAATATGCTAAGAGTCGAGAGGGATCAGAAAAAGTTTTGTGTTAACTAAAATCCTACCTGTTGAGATTCCAATCTTAGTTAGTCCTTGAGAAGTAAGCAGCTCCTACCTTATAATAAAGAAGTCCTGGTTGTAGAACAACAGTTATGCACTTGGCTGCTAACTGAAAGGTTGTCCATTTGCACCTGCACAGAGGAGCCATGAGAGAAATACCTAGTGATGTGCGCTTATAAGGATTGTTGTTGTTGTTGTTGTTAAGTGCCACTGAGTCAGTTCTGACTCATAACGACCCTGCATAGGATTTCCAGGGAACAACTACTACAATCCAGTGCTTACTACAAGACCATAACAAGATACCAGAAAACTACGGGTTGGTCAATTTTTTACTCATATTGATCCCATGTGACAGAATATGGGGTCACTATGAGTCAAAATTTGGCTACACAGCACCTAACAACAGCAATACCTTTATAATAAATGTTTACAAAATCTGTACTCAGCTTCCTCTGCTTTTTTGTCTCACTGTACTATGTAAAATTTTACTATGTACATTCCTCATGAGCTCTGTGCCTTGGCCGTGGACTGTTTATAAGCTAAATCCCTAGTGTCAGTATGGACTTGTTCTTACATTTGCATCATTGAAAGAACAAAAGATGATGGGCTTCTGTCTTCTATCTTCTCTATTTCATAATCACTCTGGCCTTTAAACCTCCAGTCTCCCTGCAGCAGCAGGCCTTGTTTTGTGGAGGTAATGGATGGAAGACAGAAACACCAGAGAAAGCACCCAAGACCTTTGCTGTTTGCTAGGCATGCCAGGGCTGAATTCAGTGCCACCCACTATATCTTGGGATCACAACTCAAATCTTCACCAGAGACTGCCTCCACCTTAGACTCTGGGAGCAATGTCAAATGCTTTCTATTCAGCAGTACTCCCCAAACAGCCATTACCCCTGTGTGGTTCTCAGGTAGGTTTTTGCCTTACAGTATGATGGGCAGCAGCTCAACAACCTGGCTGACCCTGTTGAGGAAGGAACTGGTTCCCGAGCTGGTGGAGGTCATCAAGAACTTGTGGGAGGATAGTGGGGTGCAAGCCTCCTTCGACAGAGCTGCTGCGTACCAGCTAAATGACTCTGCATCTTAGTAAGTCTCTGACTGGGAAGTGGGTGGGATGAGGCTTAAGCAATCTCATCCAGCTCAGAATCTCTGTCTTCGAAAGATGGAGACTCACGGACTAAATTCAGCCTGTTTTGTGACGTTACACTTGAGCGGTGTCTTACTATGTTTTATATTTCATGTCTTTAGATCAGGACATGTGCCACATGTTTTGTCACCACTCTGCATAGTCTTACGTTGGCTCATTGCAGCTTACAAAACTGACAACGGAAACTTGTAAATAGAGGCTTTCTGTCTACCAGCCCTCAGTCCTTTTCCTTTTATATAGGCCATACACTTCGACCATCCTTTCAGAACCACGAATCTCAAGATACCCCTGCAGTTCTGCCACACTCTCCCAGGGGCATGTGATTCGTGATGGCCCATTAAGGGCTGAATTTTCTAGGTGGCAACTCAGGCTCTACTTACGCCGCTTGTTGTTGTCATTGTTAAGCATCATCCAGTCAGTTCTGACTCATAGTGACCCTGTATAGGGTTTCCGAGGAGCGGCTTAACCACCGACCATGAGGTTCAAACTGATCTTGTGGTTGAGTGCTTACCCTACAGCGCCACACCAGGACTCCACTTAGGCCACTAACCAGAAGCAAAAGTCCCTTTTATTCACAGGATATCAGGGCCGGTGGCATACAAACTGCCAGAGCAAACAAAATAACCAACATTACAAAAGCTGATTTCAAAAAGATAAGGGGCACAGAGTTTATCAATCCTATCTCAGATAGACAGATATCCTAGGCATTAGTGAGCAGAAACAGACTGGTATTGGCCATTTTTAAACAGAAAGTCATATGGCCTTTTATACCAGGAATGACTAATTAAAGAAGAATGGTGTCATATTCATTGTCAAAAAGAACATTTCAAGATATATCCTGAATAAAGTCCAATGCTATCAGTGATAGGATAATATCCATATACCTACAAGGAAGACTAGTTAATACAACTATTATTCAAATTTACACACCAACCACTAATGCCAAAATGGAAGCATCTAAAGATTTTTACCAAATTCTGCAGTCTGAAATGGATCCAACATGCAATTAAGATGCATTTCTAATTACTGGTGATTAAAATATGAGCATTGGAAACAAAGATAAAGATCTGTAGTTGGAAAATATGGCCTTGGTGATAGAAACGACACCAGAAATTTCATGAAACAATTTTGCACACCAATGACTTAGTCATTTCAAATTCATTTTTTCAGTAACAAAAATGGCAACTATACATGTGGATCTTTGTCTAAAGGGATACACAGGAATCAAATTGACTAAGTCTGTAGAAAGAGACAATAGAGAAGAACATCATCAGTTGAACAAGGCCAGGGGCTAGCTGCTAAACAGACTATTAACTGCTCATATATAAGTTCAAGTTGAAGATGAAGAAAATTTAAACAAACCCGTAAGAAAGAACGAAAATACAACTTTGAGTATATCCCACTTGACTTTAGAAACCATCTCAAAATTAGATTCGATGCACTGGATGCTTATGACCAAAGACCAGACTAATTGTGGGATAAAATCAAGAAGATTACACATCATACATGAAGAAAAGCAAAAGGTCACTGAAAAAAACAGAAAACAAAGAAAAGACCAAAATGGATTTCAGAAGAGACTCTGAAACTTGCTCTTGAACATAAAGACGTTAAAGTGAATGGAAGAAATGGTGAAAGAACAAAACAGAAATTTTCAAAAGGCAGTTCAAGAAGACAAAGTCTTATATTATATTGAAATGTATTATAATGTAATGTGCAAAGACCTGGAGTTAGAAAACAAAGAAGGAGCACTCAGCATTTCTAAAGCTAAAAGAACTAAAGAAAAAACTCAAGCCTCTGCTTCCAATACTTAAGGATTCTATGGGCAAAATGGTGTCCTAGTATGATGCCATGGATTAATGCAATGGACTGCAAAATCGGTTTGAACCTCAAGGTCAGCAGTGCAAGCTCACCAGCCACTCCTCAGAAACCTTACACAGGATTGCTATGAGTTTGGAACTGACTTGATGTTACTTAACCACAATAACAACAATGGGCAAAATATTGAACAATGTAGAAAGTACAGAAAGAACATGAAAGGAATACTCAGAGTCACTGTACCAAAAAGAATTGGTTGAATGTTCTACCATTTTAGGAGGTAGTATATGATCAAGAACCGATGAGGTTTTGAAGGAAGAAGTCCAACCGGCACTGTAAGCATTGGGGAAAGCTCCAGGAATTGATGAAATACCAGCTGAGCTATTTATGAAATACCAACAGAAATCCTCACTAATCTATGCTAAAAAATTTGGAAGATAGCTACCTGGACAACCAACTGTAGGAGGTCCATATCTGTGTGCATTCCAAAGAAATCTTATCCAGCAGAATGCAGAAATGATCAAACATTATCATTAATATTGGATACTAATGAAAATCTGAAGATAATTTAAAAATGGTTGTAGCAATACCTCAACAGGCAACTACCAGAAACTAAAGCTGGATTCAGAAGAGGACATGAGATATCATTGCTGATGTCAGAAGAATCTTAGCTGAAAGCAGAAAACACCAGAAAGGTGTTTATCTGTGATTTATTGATTGTGCAAAGGCATTTGACTGTGTGGATAATAACCAACTAGGTATAACATTGCAAAGAATGGGAATTCCAGAACACTTAATTGTGCTCATGAGGAACCTGTACATAGAGCAAGAGGCAGTTGTTTAAACAAAACAAGGGAATACTATGGTTTAAAATCAGGATACATATATCTCAGGGTTGTGTGTATCCTTTCACCACACTTATTACGTCTGTATGCTGAGTAAATAGTCTGAGAAGCTGGACTAGATGAAGAGGAATATAGATCAGGATAGGAAGAAGACTCATTAACACCCTATAATATGCAGATGACACAGTCTTGCTTGCTAAAAGGTAAGAAATCAAAGACTACAGCCTTAGGTATGGATCACACCTCAACATAGAGAAAACAAAATCCTCACAACTGGACCAATGAGCAACATCAAGATCAATGGAGAAAAGACTGATGTGTCAAGAATTTTATTTTACTTAGATCCACAATCAATACCCATGGAAGCAGCAGTCAAGAAATCAAATGATGTATTGCATTAAACAAATCAGCTGCAAAAGACCTCTTCACTGTGTTTGTTGTTGTTAAGTACCATCAAGTCGGTTTCAACCCATAGTGACCCTGTATAGGGTTTCCAAGGAGCAACTGGTGAGCTTGAACCACTGACCTTGTAGTCCAGTACATTAACCCACAGTGCCACACCCAGACTCCTTTAAAAAGCAAAGATATCCTTTGAGGACTAAGGTGTGCCTGACCCACACCATGGTATTTTTAATCATCCCATATACATGCGAAAACTGGACAATGAACAAGTTTGACTGAAGAAGAATCCATGCATTTGAATTTGAAGCACTGACAGAATTCTCCTTAGACAGGTGGATGGCAAGATTTTCTCAATACTTTGGACACGTTATCAGGAGAGTCAAGTCCCTAGAGATGGACATCATGATTGAGAGAGCATCAGTGAAAAAGAGGAAGACCCTCATTGAGATGGATTGACACAGTAGTTTTTGAGGATGGCATAGGACTGGGCAGAATTCCTTCTGTTGTACATAGGGTTGCTATGAATCAAAAATGCCAGGGTGGCACCTAACACCACCTCAAACAGGCATGGACTTTGGAGTCTAACCCTGTTCTGCCACCTAAATTTATAATAATGTTATCATTTATTATCCTTGGAACACTCACCTACTAAGTGACTTACCAGTCACTGTTAGGTGCATTACCTAAACCTACATTACATTTAATCTGCACAAGGTTATTGCTAAGTGCTATCGAGTCATACAAGGTAGATACTACTTTTATTTGCCCTATTTTTTATATGAAAAATGGAATCTTAGAGAAATTAACCTGCCCAAGGTAATATAGATAAGTGGCAGAGGGTGATTTGAATCCCGGCCTGCTTGACCACAAAGCTGTGTATTTTTTTTTTTACATTACACCACACTGTCTCTTGATCCTACACAAGTTATTTATTTAAGTCTTACAAATGTTTCTTTCCTTTGCAAAAAAAAAAAAAAAAGTAATATAAAACTTGAAGGCTTCTGAGTGTTAACTGAGAATTGAAATGTGAAAATGCCTCTTTACTATAGGCACGGGTGTAAATTTTCCTGTCCTTGTCTTCTTAGTCATCTTACTTCACATCTGCCTGCCTTCCTCCTGTCTTTTCTAAAAATTCAATGGTAACTTTAAGACATATAATAATATAATCAATTATCAACAGTTATCAAGTTATGGTCATTCTTTTTTCTTTTTACTTCCATCCTCCACTGGCTTGTTTTGAGGCAAATCCCACATGTATTTCATTTCCAATATTTCATTATCTCTGGGCCTGCGAACTGTAAAGTCAGCAGTTCGAAACTACCAGCGGTTCCACAGGAGAAAGATGAGGAGTTCTGCTACCGTAAAGATTAACAGCCTCGGAAACCCTGTGCAGGGTCGCTATGAGTCGGAACCGACTCCACGGCACATAACAACAACAACAACAAAACAAACAAGGGCTCTTTTTAAAAAGAGAACTCATACCTGAAAACTTAATAATTTCTTAATACCATCAAATATCAAAGTCAATGTTTAAATTTCCACAATTATCTCAAATATTCCCTTCTTATTTGTTTCAGGATACAAACAAGGTCCATGCATGGCTTTTGGTTCATTTGTCTCTGTTGTTGTTAATAGCTGTCAAGCCATTTCTTACTCATGGCAACCTTTTATAGGGTTTCCAAGGAGCAGTTGGTAGGTTTGAACCACTGACCTTGAGGTTAGCAGTCCAGTTCTTATGCTACAGTGCCACACTAGGACTTCTCATTTGTCTCAAAGTCTTTTTAAATCTGCTTCTGCTCTTGATGGCATTCATTTAAATCACTGTATCTCATTCAAGGGTAGATAAGCTGATTAAGGAAAAGTTGATTTTAAGAGAAGAAACTCATGCCTCAAATGGGCTTGCCCCTCAGTCTACTCCCTCATGTCCTTTAATAAGGATATATAAAGGTTCAAATCCTATATTTGATCATATGGATTCTAGATTCAATCCTGTATCTGTCTCCAAACTAGTTGTGTCACACTGAGTAAGGTATTTTGCCTCTCTTGGCCTTGACTGGAAAATTTAATGTCATCTATGCAAATCTTTTTCTTCAGCTACCTGAATCAATTAGACCAGATTACAGCTCTGGACTACCTTCCTAATGAGCAAGATGTGCTCCGGTCTATAGTGAAAACCACAGGCATCATTGAGACCAAGTTTTCAGTCAAAGACTTGAACTTCAGGTGAGTACATGGTACCCTGTGGCACCTGAGATACTCACATGGAATACCAAAAAGGGGCATGGGCATGCTTCGTGGACTTTGCTAAATCCCAACCTGAATTACTCTTCCACTTTGCCCCTTTCCTCCCCACCAGTTAACTTGGAGTCTTTGTGTGGTGCTGTAAGATAAGCACTGGACTGCTAACCTCAGGTAGGCAGTTCAAACCTACCAGCCACTCCTTGGAAACCCTATACATGGTTGCACTATGAGTTGGCACTGACTTGAAGGCACTTAACAAGTTATTAAACTAGCCCAAGATGGTCACTCCCTGGGGTGAACATGAAGTTCATGTGGACCATAAGCTGGACAAAGTATGAGAGCAGCTGCTTCTTTCCTCAGGATGTTTGATGTTGGAGGACAGAGATCTGAGAGAAAGTGGATCCACTGTTTTGAGGGAGTCACCTGCATCATTTTCTGTGCGGCCCTCAGTGCTTATGATATGGTGCTGGTAGAAGATGAGGTGGTGAGTGGCCTTTGCACCAAACAGTTTTGGTAGAACAAGTTCTCCTTGTGACCATCCCTCTAAGCCTTGTGCTACTCCAATGCCCTAACTTGGGTGGTTTTATCTACTACTGGCACTGTAGCTGTCCTCTAGCATATTAGTCACGATATCATGCAAATCATTGCAGAAAAATCTCTTCTTCCTTACGTTCTGGGTTGGCAATTTGAGCTTCAGATTTTCTGAGAGTAAATTTGGTCTCAGATTAGATATTCTAGAGCCACTAAGATATCTTAAAGCTCTTAAGAGAAATCACATAAAAGGTATAAAGGATTGTCAACTACACACACAACAAAGGCGTTATACTTAGTACTGTCCCAGATTGCCTGAGGAAGTACAGGAGATTAAAATGGTACAGAAAACAATGTCTGATGTGTATCTTTATGCAACATAATAGAGAGGTTGAACTACTGACCTCGCTTAGAAGCCTAAAAATGTATGGAATGTCAACAGTTAAGAAGAGACTGGCAGACCATTTCTCACATGCCAATAAAATTGGCAGCAAAAGTACTTGAGGGTAGAACTTGTAGAGTTCTACAAAGCAGAAGCTCAGCAGAACAAGTGTCAGAACCTAGCCAGTTACCTTCTCTGAGCTAAAAGATGTTAAAGGAGTAGAAAATGCTAATTTCACATAAGCATTCTGTTCCTAAATGACTTTCTTCATGTATGCTATCCTTGATGTCATCCCACAACTCTTCTGGTGTTCGGTCATTAGTGTTTAATGTATCAAACCTGTTCTTCAGATGATCTCTAAATTCAGGTGGGATATATTCAGGGTCATATTTTGGCTCTTGTGGACTTGTTTTCATTTTCTTCAGCTTCAGTTTGAGTTTACACGTGAGCAATTGATAGTCTGGTCCACAATCTGCTACTGGCCTTGTTTTTTTTTTAAATGTTTTATTGTGAATTATGTGATAGTTTACATGGAAGAACATTAGCTCTACATTCATCCTATCATATAACGTTTCATTGCCATGGTTATAATCCCCTCCATGCATCATCAACCAACCAAAGGGTATACCCTACAAGCCTGCTTCCCAGTCATCAGCATACAGCCCCTCTCCCTCTCTGGGTCTAGAGTCCCCAGCCATTCTATCTCTCCATGTCATCATCTCTGCCATTCACTGCTTCTCAGTGTGGGGACCTCCACTCCTGGACTACAAAGTCAACCACTCCCCTACATTTGCTACAAAATGTCTACCTTTACATTTCCAACCCTCACAGTCAGTCCTGATAGCATCTATTCACTATGGTGCCACATGAGTGCCATCTCCATCTCCTGGCCTTGTTTTGACTGATGATATAGAGCTTACCCATCGTCTCTTTCCGCAGATGTAGTCAATTTGATTTCTGTGAATTCCATCTGGTGAGGTCCATATGTATAAATGTCTCTTATGCTGTCTAAAGAAGGTATTTGGAATGAACAAATCACTGGCTTTGCAGAATTCTATCATGCGGTCTCCAGCATCATTTCTATCACCAAGGCTGTATTTTCCAACTGATCCTTCCTCTTTGTTCCCTGCCTTTGCATTCCAATCACTAGTAATGATCAATACATCTTGATTGCATCAGATTCAGATTGAAGAAGGTGGTAGAATTTTTCTACTTCATCCTCACTGACTTTAGTGTTTGGTGCGTAAATTTGAATAATAGTGGTATTAACTGGGCTTCCCTGTAGGCACGTGGATATTATTCTATCACAGACAATGTTGTACCTCATGACTGATCTGGATATGTTCTTTTTGACAATGAATGCAACACCATTCCACTTCAATTTGTCATTCCTGGCATAGTAACCTATGTGGTTGTCAGATTCAAAATGGTCAATACCAGTCCATTTCAGGTCACCAATGCCTAACATATCTATGTTTATGCATTCTATTTTTGAAAATTTCCAATTTTCCTAGATTCATTACTTCGCACATTCCATATTCTGATTATTAATGGATGTTTACGGATGTTTCTCTTCATTTTGAGTTGTGCCCCATCAGCAAATCAAAGTCCCACAGGCTTTACTCCATTAGTGTCATCACAGTCAACTGTACTTTGAGGAGGCAGCTCTTCCCCAGTCACATTTTGAGTGTCTTCCAACCTGAGGGGCTCATTTTCTGGCACTGTATCTGACAGTGTTTCTCTGCTATTCATAAGGTTTACAGTGACTAAATATTCAGAAGTAGTTTGTCATTCCTTCTTCCTAGTCTGTCTTCGTCTGGAAGCTCATCTGAAACCTGTCCACCATGGGTGACCCTGATGGTATTTAAAATACCTGTGGCATAGCTTCCAGAATCACAGCAACTCACAAGCCACCACAGAATAATAAACTGACAGAAAAGTGATTTCCGATGGATTTTGGCTGAAAGCAGAGAACACCAGAAAGATTTTCACCTGTGCTTTATTGACTACGCAAAGGCTTTTGATTGTGTGGATCATGACAAGCTATGGACAACATTGCAAAGTATGAGTATTCCTGAACACTTAATTGTGCTCATGAAGAATCTATACCTGGACCAAGAGGCAGTTGTTTGAACAAAACATGGGAACACTGAATTGTTTAAAATTAAGAAAGGTGTATAAACCCTGTGACAGGGTTGTATTCTTTCACCATACTTATTCAAACTGTACGCTGAGCAAATAACCTGAGAAGTTGGGTTCTATGAAGAAAAAACGTGGCATCAGGACTGGAGAAAGATTCATTAGCAACCTGCGAGATGCAGATGATACAAGCTTGCATTCTGAAAGTGAAGAGGACTTAAAGTATTTACTGATGAAGATCATAGACCACAGCCTTTAGTATGGATTACATCTCAATGTAAAGAAAAGAAAAATCCTCACCACTTGACCAATAAAAAATATTCTTATTAATGGAGAAAAAATTGAAGTTGCCAAGGACTTCATTCTTCTTGGATAAACTATCAACACTTATGAAACTATCAACACACTTAACAACACAGCTATTAAACAGTCAAGAAATCAGACAACGTATTGCATTAGGCAAATCTGCTGCACAAGACCTTTTTAAAGTTCAGCTTGAGGACCAAGGTATGCCTGACCCAAGCCATGGTATTTTCAATAACTCATATGCATGCGAAAGCTGGACAGTGAATAAGGAAGACCATAGAAGAATTGATGCTTTTGAGTTATGGTGTGTTGAAAGAGAATATTAAAAGTACCATGGGCTGCCAAAAGAACAAACAAATCTGTGTTGGAAGAAGTGCAGTCAGAGTGCTCCTTGGAGGCCAGGATAGCCAAACTTTGTCTCTCATACTTCGGACATATTGTCAGGAGGGACTAGTTACTGGAGGATATCATGTTTGGTAAGGTGGCGGGTCAGAGAAAAAGAGGAAGACCCCCCTCCCCCACCAACGAGATAGATTGGCAAAGTGGCAGCATCAATGGACTTAAGCATGGCAACAATTGTGAGGTTGTCCCGGGACTGGGCAGTGTTTTGTTCTGTTGTACATAGGGTCGCTATGAGTCGGTACCGACTCGATGGCACCTAACAATCTGTTCCTTAAATGGAGACCCACAGTTAGGTAAGTGGGCCTGATGACAAAGCTCCTACCCTCATCCTCTGTTCCAGTTTTTACTCCTTTTCCTTAATAGTTCAAGTTCCCATTAGTGCATGATGAATGGATCTTCTGACCAAAATGCTTACAGGGCTAGCCACTTTCCAACATCTCTGCTATCTTTAAACAGAATGTCTACAAGTATTAACAGGAGATAAGGATCCAAATTAGATTTATTTTCTTGCTTTATTAGATGAAAACACTGGTCCTAAGTTAGCTAGCATTCATTAAGGGCCTAAAAGCCTATTTCCTAAAAACAAGCTAGGCTGGGGCACTGGGCAACCTGCAGACTGTATAAATAGAACATCATGTTTCACTATCTCTGAGTGGCAGGGAAAATAAAGAAGTGCTTGTGATGTGGCACTAGGAAATTCTCTAGCCCTCACCATATGGTGCCAGAACCAGTATATCCCTACGGAGTTCCTGCCCAAACTGAGGCTCAGGACACCATTGAGAGAAACCTATCAAAAGCATTCTAGAGATGCAAATGAGCACATGCTAAGTGGAGCCCAGATTCAACCCTTTATCAACAGCACATGTCAGTCCTTAGCCGTCCTAGCTGCCAAGATGTACAAATCACTTACTATACAGGGAACCCTGGAGGTGCTTAGCTACTGATTGAAAGCTTGGTGGTTCAAACTCACCAGACACTCCACAGGAGAAAGAGGTGGCTATGTAAAGATTACAGCTTTGGAAACTTCACAGGGCAGTTCTACTCTGTCCTAGAGTCACTGAGTTGGAAGAGACTCAATAGCAACATGTTTGTTTTTATATACACCAGCCTCTATTATGTGCACTGTGTATATGAGGTGGCTTCAAAAAGCTCATGGAAAAACAGAATTGAAAGATAATGGGATTTTTCCATGAACTTTTGGAAGCTCTTTTGCATATGGTCTCATTTAACTTTCATAACTTTATGATAGGGAAATTGATGTTCATAAAAGTGTAGTAATTTCTCCCTTGTCACACAGCTATTAGGAGTCCTGGTGTGGTGCTGTAGAATAAAGAACTAAACCACAAAATTGGTTTCAACCATAAGGTCGGTGGTTCAAGCCCACCAGTGCTCCTCAGAAACCCTATACAGGGTCACTATGAGGTGGAATCGACTCAATGGCACTTAACAACACAGCTATTAACAAATATGAACAAGGGCTACCATCAAGTGATTCCAACTCACCCAGGACTATACTATTTCAGGAAGCAGAGTGCCACACCTCTGTCCTACAGAGTGATTGGTGGGTTCAAACCACTACCCTTTCAGTAAGCAGCCAATTGCTTAACCTCTGTGCAAGTACTCCCTGTCTCTCCTTTTACGTTTGGAGCACTGGTCTCCCTCCCAGTCTTATCTTCCTGATGGTGTTGTTTCCTCAGAATCATATGCATGAATCTTTGCACCTGTTCAACAGCATATGTAACCACAAATTCTTTGCGGCTACTTCCATTGTCCTCTTTCTCAACAAGAAGGATCTCTTTGAGGAAAAAAATCAAGAAAGTGCATCTCAGCATTTGTTTTCTAGAGTATGATGGTAAGTGTTTAGAGCTGGAAAAGACGATGGTGATGCTTTCTTAGTGGTGTCTGGCAATTGCCTCACTCCTTGTGCCAAGGAGACATTAAAGACATTGCCTTAAGGGAGAAACTGGGACTTCAGTTGTTAAGTGCCGTTGAGTTGGTTCTGACTTATAGCGACCCTGTATAGGGTTTCTGAGGAGCAGCTGGTGGGTTTGAACTGCTGCCCTGTGATTCGCAGTCCAGTGCTGATCCACAGTGCCATACCAGAAATTACAAGGTTTAAATTCAGATGTCTCTGGAATAGAGCAGTTATTTATGGCAGGAGAGCCACTGACTATTCAAATGATACATGCCAGGAACCAAGGGCAAGGCAGAGTCAGACCCCTTGCCTTGACTTCTTTGCTCAACTCAGGTGAGAATCACTGGGGTACAATAGAGAATAACCAGCCCTCCCAAAACAGACCCCAAACTGCAGTTGTCTACCACAACATTCTGATAACCAAGTCAGTCTCCTATACAGTAAGTAAGCAACTTATAAAGTTAATTTATCCCACCTCTTCACCATTTTTCTGGAGAACCAGGGAACAACTCTTGATGATGCAGGGAATTACATCAAGAACCAGTTCCTTGACCTCAATATGCGAAACGATGTCAAAGAAATCTACAGCCACATGACCTGAGCTATAGACACGCAGAATGTCAAATTTGTGTTTGATGCAGTTACAGATATTATCATCAAAGAAAATCTCAAGGACTCTGGGCTCTTCTAATCCTCACCATTCCTCAGGTATAAATTCTATAAACACGCTTGAAATTTCAAGCAGAAAATTAAAAGGTCAGTGTAACAATGACGTAAAGAATTAACCAATTCTCCTTTGGAGATGGAGTATGAGGGATTATAGTTGTCACTCACCCGTTCTTTTCAAAGTGGGAAAGCCAGTGCAGTTTAAAGAACCTGAGGTCAGGAGTCAAAAGGACCAGGTTCCAGTATTGACTCTGTCACATACTGTGTAATTGTAAATAAATCCTTTTTTCTGAGCCTCAAGATCCTCACCTGTAAAATGAAGATAACTTCCCTGCCTACTTCACAGGATTTTTCTGATTGATCACAAACATAACTGAAGGGAAAGCACACGAAAGCTGCTATGGTTAGTGTCAGAAAGAAATCCCATATAAAAGCTGCCATGTGTAACATTTAGCACCCAGTTTTTAGAATAAGCTATCCCAAGAAGCATCATCTAAGAAAAATAGCAAAACTTCCTTACTCTCTACAAAGCCCTACCCCAAATCTCAATAAACTTACCACCCCCTTTTTACTAACACATCTCTATATGCATTAGCTCAAAGACCTGGGTCACTGGATAGGAGATACAAGTTTCTGTCAGTTTGGGCATACATCCCAAAATGATCATTTATTAAGCACCAATCTTCCTTCGGAGTCCTGGTGTGGCACTGTGGGTTAATGCACTGGGCTGCAGTCAGTTTGAACTGCAAGGTTGGAGGCTAAAGTTCACCAGTTGCTTCTCAGAAACCCTATACAGGTCACTATGAGTTGGAACTGACCCAACAGCACTAACAATCATCCCTCAGAATTCCTGGTGTGGTACTGTAGGATCAGCACTGGACTGCAAAACACAGTGTCGGCAGTTCAAACTCACTAGTTGCTCCTTGGAAACCCTATACAGGGTTGCTTGAGTTGACTCGACAGCCCTCAACACCAAAAATCATCCCTCTGCCCCCTGGTGGTGGTGGTTATGTGCCGTGGAGTCAGTTCTGACTCAAAACTACCCTACATAGGGTTCCCAAAGCTGTAAATCTTTTTGGGAGCAGAAAGCCTCATCTTTCTCCTGAGAAGTGACTAATAAGATTCAAACTGCTGACCTTGCAGTTAGCAGCCCAACTCGTAACCCACTACACTACCAACAGACCAAGGTTCCTTTATTTTTACAACTGTTTCTCAGCTATGTAACATACTTTCTGAATAAACTTGGAAGACACCAACGCATGCCCACTTAAAGTAGTAATGATTCTGCTGTTGCTACTTCCCTATCAGAGAATTCAGAACAAGGGAATACTTTTAAATTTTTTCATTTCAACTGATACATGTTCTTAAGACCAAATAAGCAGTTGGGTCTTGCTTTGTTGTTAAGTACGTGGAGTCACTTTAGGCACTGGAAATCTTTGCAGTTGGGTCTACGTACTGCTGGCAGAATTTAAAAAAAAAAAAAAAATCTCCCCAATCAGGCAAACAAATATAGCATAGAAGAGTGTTAATGAAAAGGGAACGCCTGCTCCTTGCCAGGCCTGCTCACTGAGGCACTAGCAATATTGATACTGGAGGGCCATACGAACTTGAAATACAGTAAAGAATACATTTGCAGCTGTTAACATTAAATTAATTTCATAGTCTTGCAGATTTCCTAAAAAGAAACTCACTTGGGAGAATTACCAGAGAAATAAGGCAAAGCTCTCTGGCTACTGTTTGTGAAAAAAAATGCCTAGGCCAAAGGAGAAACCTGGTTAAGCCTTCTCATCTCCCAGAGGTGTTCAGGAATGACTGAGCCACCTGCTACCACCATCACTATCCTAGCTGGCCTTAACTCATGCAGACTCTTTTTGTGTCCTGGACTAAAAGATCCACCTCCATGACCCTGAGACCAAAAAAACTAGATGGTACCTGGCTACCACTGCCAACTGCTCTGAAAGGAATCACATTACAAAGTCCTGGAAGAGTGGGAGAAAAACTCGGAACGAAACTCAAATTATGGGAGAAAAAAAACCAGGCTAACTAGTTGGACTACGACTGGTGGAACCCTGGAGGCTGTGGCCCTTAGATACCCTTCAGACTTGGAAATGAACTCAGCTCCATGGCTCAATTTTCAGCCAAATTAACAGACAAGTCTGTAGGGAGAACATTGGGGAGATAAACACACCTTCCGATCATCAAACATCTGAGCTCAAAAGGGCAGCATTTACCCAAGGACAAAGTTCAGAAGGGTTAGGAGAGGAGGAGGAATGGAAACAGGAAACAGGGAAGTAGTGTTTCACTGTGATGTTACACTGTGGGGGCAGCTATCAATGACAATATGTATGCATTGGTTGAATGGAAAACCAATGGTTCTGCAAACCTTCACCCTATTCAAAAGAAAAGTAAGAAAACAAAACAAAACCATCAACAGCCTTTTCTTCCAGAAGCTTCTGGGTGGGTTTGAACTGCTAACCTTTCAGTTAATAGCCAAGCGCTTACCATTCACATTCCAACAGCAGCTTTACTCCAACAGTCATTTTCTGAGGCTTTATTTTGGCTGAGCTAAGGGTCTGGTTACATTAATCTTACAATACTTTTCAAATTAAAACTGTTCTGGTGAGACAGCAAGACTACAAGGAAAAATACTTGGGGATCTGGGTCACCCATCTAATTATAGTTTACATTCAAAACCTTTTCAAGACCAGACTGGGCTTCCCTCGAAGTAAAAGCTGAAAGACTTCACCACAAATACTCTTGATAGGATTCCAATAGGTGTTAACTCTCAACCCTGCATGTTTGTCAGGCTCACAAATCATTCCCAAACCATACACTGTTAGAGCTAAAGACCAAGTGCATTTGTACTTTTCCTGCACAATTGGTTTATTTATTGTTTTATCTCATGGGCATTTTGAATGCATGCAAGAACTTTTCATAAAACAGCTCCGTTGTTGTTGCTTCTTCTTGTTAAGTGCCATACAGCTGGCTCCAACCCATGGCAACCCTGTATAGGGATTCCGCGGAGAAACTGGTGGGTTTGCATCACTGATCTTGAGGTTCAAACTGACCTTGCAGTCCTGCCACCAGGACTCCATTGTTGTTAAGTACCATCAAGTTGGTCCCGACTCACAGCAACCCAGTATAGGCTTTCCAAGGAGTAGCTGGTGAGTTTGAACCACCAACGTTGAAGTTATAAGTTCACTGCTTAACCTACAGTGCCATACCAGATTCAAAACTGCCCTAGAGAGCTTAAAATCAGTATTGTTATATTCTCTTTTTACTTTGCCCAATTTTTCATTTCTATTTTACTTTAGTTGAATTTTACTTTGTAAGCTATTGAGGAACCCGGGTGGTACAGTGGTAAAAGCACTAGGCTGTAAACCAAAAGGTCAGTGGTTCAAATCCACCAGCTGTGCTGTGCTAGAAAGATGTGGCAATCTGCTTCTGTAAAGATTTACAGCCTTGGAAACTCTAGTCTGATCTACATGGTAACCATGAGGCAGACTCAAACTCTGTGGCAACAGGTTTGGTTACTGTTGTTGTGTATTGTTGAGTCGGTTCCAACTCATAGCAAGCCTGTGTAGGTTTCCAAGGCGCAACTGGTGAGTTTGAACCACTGACCTGTTATAAGCCATCAGAAACTTTATTCTTTAACAAGGCAGGTCAGAAATAATTATTCAGTCTGTTTTATTGAACTGCATAACATTATTTCTTAGAATGACAAAACTAGAAGAAACTTTAAAAAATATTTCAGGTCCATAACTATCAATATATAGCTAAGAAACTGAGGCTCAGAGAATTGGACTATTCATGATTACATTGCTAGGAAGAAACAAAACTAAAGCTTCAAAGTAGGTCTTCTGAATCTAAAGGAGTGGTATTTCTATATACCTCATACTGCCAACAACCCATCATACACTAAAAAGCTAAAATCAGCTTCCCATTCTCCTAAGCTGCCCACATTTCAATTCTTACTCTTAAAAGTTATCACTGTGCCATCCCTAAACCATCTCCAAACTAAATACAAATAGTTATCAATGTGGAATCTCAAAAATATATTGTACCATGTTTGTTGAAGTTACAAATTCTTGGCCACACCCTTCCAGGGTAGAGAGTCCTTAGCACAGCAAATACCACTTAGGTTCCATTATGTTTTTGTGGATACAAGAAAAAGTGTAGCATGAAAATTCAGTCTTGAAAGCAATATAAAATATGTGTTTACTTATAACATATTCTACTCTGATTAGGCAAAGTGTTAAAGACATTTCTAAAGACATACTAGACATTGCTGAAGGAACTTTACCTTTTGGCCACCAAAAAACAAGTACTGGTATGAATCACCAACCTTGTGGTTCAAACCGACCTTGAGGTCCAGTGCATTATCCCACAGCCACAACCAGCAGATAGCTTTAATGCTGTGTAGCATAATCCTGAGTATCTTCAGAAAATATTTTATAAAGCACTTTCAAATACTTCTATTTGATTAGAACCAGAGAAAATCATAGCTGGAAGGGATAATTTAGCCTATAGATAAGGAGCTCTTGTAGTGTAGTGGTTACAAACTGGGCTGCTAACCTTAGGGTCAGCAGTTGGACACTTCCAGCTGTTCTGCAGGAGAAAGATGAGGCTTTCTGCTTCTATAAAGGTTTACAGCCTCAGAAACCCTGTACAGGGTTGCTATGAGTTGGAACCGACTCCCTGGCACATAACCACCACCACCACCATCATTAATAGATGAGAGTTCTAAGACTGAAAGTGACCTACACATTCAGATAACTTGTTGGAAGGAAAGAAAGATTCTGAACCTAGCATTCCAATCAGATGCTGCAAGGGCTCAAGACCTTTATCTTGTATGAGCAAAGATGAGCAGTTAGGCAGGGCAGGTAACTTCTGGGATTTTGTTATGTCTAGCAGGAATCTCTCTTATGTATAAATAGGCCTCTTAATAAAAAGTTCTGGAAAATAAGGAGTATGGGGGAGGCAAATAGTTTGGAGGAGCTAGATAAACTGGGCTGCACAGAATTT